GGGGACTCAACGGGGACTCAACGGGGACTCAACGGGGACTCAACGGGAACTCATCGGGGATTCAGCGGGGACTCAACGGGGATTCAACGAGGACTCAACGGGGACTCGACGGGACTCATCGGGGATTCAACGGGGACTCAACGGGGATTCAACGGAAACTCAACGGGGACTCAACGGAAACTCAACGGGGATTCAACGGCAACTCAACGGGGACTCATCGGGGATTCAACGGGGACTCAACGGCGACTCAACGGGGATTGAACGGGAACTCAGCGGGGATTCAACGGGGATTCAACGGGGACTCAACGGCGACTCGGCGACTCAACGGGGATTCACCGGGGACTCAACGGGGGGGGAGTCAACGGGGATTCAACCGGTACTCAAAGGGATTCAACGGGGGACTAAATGGGAACTCAACGGGGATTGAACGGGGACACTAAAAATCAATCAAATCCTTGATTTTTGATAACTTTGATGTTTTTGGTTGATAAGAATACGCCGCCCCCCACGTTTCGTCGGTTCACTGTGCAGCTCCTTGAAACAACGCAAAAAAAAACATGCTTTCGTAGAGAAAACTTACAAAATAACACCCAAAGGCCGCAATCTTGCTACCTTCCTGCCCTGATTCTCAAATTTAATGTTAACGCTTCTACGGAGGAATCAATATATATATATATATAAACCAGGATGGTGAGAGAGCCGGTCCAGTCGGGAAGAGGTAGGGCATTCCATGTAACACACAAGCACGATCGTCTGGTTGAATTTGGGCCGGGAAGAACTGGTTGAGCCGAGCCAGGCCAGCTCCGGTTCTGTGAGACTTCTACTACTTGATGGCCTGCAGCTCTTAGAGGGAGGAGGCTCCCATTCTGTGGCCGTTCGTGCGACCTTACCATTGCTGCAGGCTGCATTGGAACAGGTGCCTTGGATGCTTGGATCTGAGATGCTGAAGCTCCTGATGTTTGCCAACTAATATAATATAGTGTTGAAGCATTGGTGTTTACAATGTTGGTTTGCCATACAACCTCTAGTGGGCACTGAGTCTGCAGGTACAATACACAAGTTGTACTGATTGCTCTGCAGTGCTGGATTCCATACAATTGACTTGTGCCAGCCCCAACAACATGCAGTCAGAAGCCATAGTGCAAATGGAGATTGACTCGGTGCTGCCATATCTCCGTGCTGCATCACTGTATCGCGAAATCAAGAACTATACTGCGCATGTATTTCGGGACGTTTCGCTGGAGTATGCCATGTATTCGGGAATACTGCAGCTCAATATCACTTCCAGCAGTGGCACTGTGGCTGTTGAGCATGACTGGGATGCACCTGGTGCCATTCTTAAAGGAACCGCAGCTGAAGTAGCTTGGATTTTGAAGAGTAGCGGCGTTACCTTCAAGCCGAATCGGAGCCAGACCTTCGACCACCTGGACTCTTGGCCAAGCAAGGGTTCCAGATCCTTTTGAGCAAACTAAACTACTGTAACTTCGTCCCGCTCCTGCAAACTAACTTTAGTCTAACCCATCCTGTTGGAGGAAGACTCCCTTTGACCACCTGTTTTGACTGAGGTCAACCTCCAGCTTTGCCTCACCGACGAGACGGGTGCTCCAGTCTCCGAATGCATCACTTTGTCTCTCAAGGTGCCAATCCTTTTTGCTCAGAATCCTTTGCAAACCAGAAGGCTTTTGTTTGAGCATGTTTGAGCTAACATGACACATTTCAACAAGAATGCTATCTCAGGTTCTAGGTCTGGAAGTGGCAGCAGTGGTGGATGAAGAGCTGAAGGTGGGAGGTGAGCCTGACACTGCTGTGGCCTCTGCTGTGGCCTCCGTGGCCTCTGTGGCCTCGGTGATGACGAAGCGTAACCTTTTGACTTTTTGTATTCGCCAAACCAAGAATGGACACCCTCCCGCACCGAAACGTTACTCTCCCCAAATCAAACGTAACCCCCTAAAGTGGATTTTTTTGGAAACGTTAGTCGAAAGATGCTGAAAGGGCACAAGTGGTGTCTGTGAGGAGGATATGTTAGCAAGATTCCGCAGGGATAAGTCAAAAATGGAAACGGCCATGTTAGTGGATGCTGGGGGACATTTTGACAAGTTTCATGACTCTGAACTGGCACAACTGGTGTCTGGGACGAGGATATGTTAGCAACTAGGAGAAGCATTGAACGTGACCCATGCCCTGAACGTGGTATCGGTGAGGAGGACATGTTAGCAACAGTCTGCAGGGGAACATGTGTTGCAAATCCTCCGACATGGAAGCCGCCATGTTAATTGATGCCGGGAAAATTGAAGTTTCATGACTCTGAAATGGCAGAAGTGGTGTTTGCGAGGGGGGGATATGTTAGCAACTAATGTTTTTCTGGTTGCCAAACAAACCTACTGTAAGTTTGCCTCCAATGAGTGCAAGCAGCAACTGGGCTCCAGGGGGGTTTACTGAAGCCCAAGCAAATCCAAGCAATATGCTGCCCAATGGTTAGCCCTACATCACGACGTGGCCAAGCACGAGGACGCCAGTTAGACTGAGGGATGCCCAGCGTCAAACACTGGAGGAAGCTGCCACATGGTGTCAAACAGTGCCTTGCCATCAAAATGATGACCATGGGGGTGCTAACATGTCCACAGTGTCACATCATTGCAAAGATACATATCCGTACAAATGCTCTGCAGTAGACTCCAGATGTTCAGATGTTCAGATGTCTCAAGCGGCAGCACCAGGCTATGTTAGTAACAAGCTGTTGTGTTTCTGTGTATTTGTGTGCCCATGGTTTTCATGGGCTCAGCATGAAGGTGATGAAGCGGGCCTTGGAGTTCACAAAGAGCTTGGATGGCAATCCATTGCTCACTTCTTCTCGAACACTTGTCACATCGTCTTTCTTTTCCGGGTCTCTCAATAGATGCTCAGAAGTTTTGGCGGTATAGTGTGTTTTATTTTTGAGGAATTGCATTTAGATATCCCTCCAGAACATTGCTAACATATCCTCGCTGCAGATACCACTTGTGCCCTTCAGCATCTTCCACCAATGTTGCCAAAAAAAATCGTTTACAGGCACACGTTTTTTTCAAGAGAGTATCCAACTCAGGCTGGATGCTGCATCAAGGGCAGCTGCTGTCCTTGAAGCTCAAGAGGGTTGTGGGGTCAAATTTGAGCGAGTGCCTTGCATATGCATCAGGTCATGTTTGATGGTGTTGTCCAATATCATGAATTGTCCACACATTCTCAGTCTTAAGTGGCTGGACCATGGGGGTGCTAACATGTCCCTTGTGCTAACATGTCCCTCTATATAGATATAATATTGTATAGGTTTGTTAGCATTCTTGCCACTTGCCTGAGGTCAGCTGTTGCGACATCGAGGCCGCAGTGCAGCAAGGACTCCTAAAGGACCCCTTCTTCAAGAATGAGTGCGTGTTTGAAGATGCAACTGGGAGTTTGAACAAATCAGTTCCATATACTAGAAGACACGCGTTTAACATTGTCCTTTTGCTTTGGTTCTTAAATTCAAGAATATATCTATATATAGTGGTTTCACTCAGGGCTGGGCCTAACATGGCCAGTGGAGCACACTCTGCATCGTAGGTATTGCAAGTACTTGATGCGAAGACGAGAGGCAAGATTAACCTTGCCAGCAGCCTAGAGCACATCAAGTTGATCATGGAGGATGCCACCTTCAAGACTCACGCTCGTTGCCTGCGCCGCCCGTTGAAGCCAGGAGGGTGCATGCTTCCCCGTGAAGTCGATATAGTTTCTTGACCTTGTTAAGGGTCCCTAACATAGCCCGTTGCCCACATGGTTTGGATGGCGCTTTGTTACATTTACTGTAGCTCAGTATAACTAGTTTACACAAGTGAACAATCTCTGTTCTTTCCCATCATTGCAACCAAGGACTTGAGTGCAGTATCTTGCAAAGATGACAGTCTGGCCGGCAATTTTTCACAGAATGAAGGTCCTGGCACAAGGGCGGCAATGGCGCACTTCAGGCCCTGGATTTGCATAACAAATGAACATTGCATATCGTTCCAAAATAAGATGGCAATACGCTGATGGGCCCGTATTTCACACGTGGTTAACCTTTACAATGTATGATAACAGTACGTATGCTAACATGACCCTGCCAGATACCAACTCCATGCCAAGACCCGCTTGATGCTGTTGGAGAATGTATGTTCCGGGACGATACACCAAGTTACTGCACAAGAGCTTTCAGACAAGAATGCTTGTGAGATCAAGATCATTGCCTCAACAGATGATTCAGGATACGGCGGCATACGCCGGCACCGTGGCTGGATTCCTGTCAGGATGTTTGGCAAGTGTTTCATTCTAGCAATTGTTTGGGATACTGGAGGGATATCCAGTACAAATCTTCCAAAAACAGGAACAGCCATGTTAGTTAATACCGGGAACATTGACATATTTTCTGAAAGGGCGCAAGTCTGTGTTTGTGGCGAGGATATGTTAGCAACATGTTGTGGAGGGATATCCAAGCCCAGGACTATAGCCCTTCGGCGTGGCTGTGGTCGTTTCCTGGCTGAGCCTCAAGCCGCCTACGACTACATGAGAGAGGAGCTGAGGAAGAAGCAAGTCAACATTCCTGATCTCTTCTGGCGCGAGGATGAGGAGTTGCATCTTTGCAGCAATGCAGATAAGATTACAGTATCTTTGTAATCGCAAAAGTGGTTGACAGCACTCATTTTCGTGAGCAAGCTTTAGGCTTTAATCGGGAAGAGAAACAGGATGTCTGGCAAACGGAATGTGTGCAGGGACATGTTAGGCGAAGTGTTTGAGCCTAAGCAGGGACATTGAATTGGCACTGATACTAAGGTTGGCAGCAGAGCGCAAAGCTTGCAGCACCAAAGGCAAAAGTCCCAATTGCACTTTTGAGTTCCTTGGCTGCCTCTCAAAAAGCTACCAAGGCAAACAGCTCAATATGTTTGTTCCACAAACCCCAAGCTATTTCTGTGGCGGTCCAGGTTAGTGCCACTCAGACTGCAAGCAAGGCAAATGCAGAGACTGACATGAAGAACCTGCAAGCGGCTTGGGATAAGTTTGACCAGGACAGGGATGTTGATGTTACTGTGTTCATCTGTTGTAATTAAAACCCTATTTAGGAACATATCCATTGGTCCATGGTCCATGTTAAGTTTCGGGCTTGTAGACAAGACTCCCCTGATGAGCCTGTGAGGATTTCGATCTCAAAGATCTTCCCGAGTTCCAGGTTGCCGTCCCTCAACAAAGTCCAGACTACATGAAAAGACGAGCAACAACAGGCATCATGGCATGTTATGATGTTTCAAGGTTTTTGTAAAAGTTGAAACCAGCAACATGCACACTCAGGGCTACGTTAAGGTAAGTAAGGCTGAAACTCCCAAGACCATGACTGCTGATTCCTGTCAAGGTCTCTGCCAACATTCACTCGGGTGGATCACCACTACAGTCGCCATTTGAAGAGGTGGTTGACTGGGCTGGAAAAGCTTTGCGCGCTGGGATTTCCGGCAACAGATGCAATCGCGCGAGTTTATGGAGTTGATCTCTGGCTTGGTTTGTGCAAGGTTGTGTGTGTGTGCAATTGTTTCTTGCACTTCCCCACCAACAACTCGAAACTCACACAGGGAGCATGTTAGTGTGGCGTGTGGGATTGTGGGAACACATCTGAGGACACCATGCCTCACCATGTTTGGCCAAAGCTTCATGATCGTTGCGGCAACACCCAACATCTACCTCAATCAGCAGCTTGACTTGGAAATGCTTGTTGTAGTCATTTAAAGGCAATGTGCTTTGTTGGGATTGGCCACGTGAGTCACCCTCCCAACCCGTTGTGCCAGTGACCGGCTTCAGTGGCAATTTGAGGCAATGGTGCTGGCAGCGCTTTTGGCAGTGACAGAGTTTTTCCCGGCCGATGCCATTCCTCAACAAATCCCTGATGTAGTTGCAGTGCCTGTGCAGGGAAATGGCCTTTGCTTCTGGAGCTGCTTGTATCTGGCTTGCAGGGCTACGGTGGCTTTGGTATCACCGCCCGAGGACACCTCAGGGCTTTCCGCTATGCCCAAAGGCCATTGAAGAGGAAGATGCAGTGGTGACAGCTTTTGCACAGAGCCTCAACTTGCCGTCGGAGATCGCAGAGAAGATCGTGCGTAAGCGAAGTGCTGAACACTCTGACATCGAATTTTGGATCTTCAGAAAATGTTGCGCAGTACTGTATTTCTTTCATAAAGAAGGGGTAGGGCTAACATGTCCCACTGCATTGCTAAGACCACAGGAGTGATTTCACCAAGCAGCCAGGAATGGGCAGCTAACGCGCTGAAGATCGATGTCAAGTTCATCTCTGGTGAGAAAACACCAACGCGCGGCGCCGTCCCTTGCTGGCAGTGTCCAGAGAGTTCAGAGGGTCCGGTTGGTGGTGAAGCTTGCAAGACTGTGTACCTCTGGACTCACCGGTGGCTGGCGCAGGGAACCGTGCCGACCACTTTTCTTTGCTGAGCCAGGAGATGGTGCTGTTCTTGTTTGTTTTGTAATAATTAGCACGATAACTAACATGGACTTGGACCCCTTTGTCCAGTCAATGGCTTTCATTTCAATTGTTCATGGACTCTTGTGCAATAGCACTGAACTTGTCAAGCCATTGCAATGACTACTGTAAATAGGACGTGCGCATTTGGAATGGTGCAGCTCTTGAACCTGCTGACCAAGATGAAAAGCCAGCTACAACGTCAGTGCCTGGCCAGCTTCCCGAGCAAAGTTTGGTTGTCCTGTCCTGCAGAACAGAGGGGGAAACTGGCCTCATTGGGTGGGGTGAAAAGGAGTGATCACAACACTGGCACATTGGTTTCAATGCCTGGTGCACATGCTACAATTGAAGTTGTCGATCAGGAGTTCTTCCCATGCAGTGGCCAAACTTGCTTTCAAGTTTACTCACGCGCCCCCCTAAAATGGATTTATTGTTGGGGGCAACGTTAGTCGACAGATGCTGTACTGTACCACATGAGCACATGCTATACTGTACTGTACCATCTCTTTTTTGCAACAGGACTTTGCTTGCAAATACGAGTTCATTGCTGACGTCATTCTTTCCTTGGTGGCATTGAGGGACAAGCTTATTGGAGACTACTCCTACTTGAAGAAAGATGAACTTCAGCAAATGGCCAGGTGTCTAGGCGTGAAGGCATATGCTCGAAAGGCTGATTTGGCTAATTCACTGGTCTTCGCAAGATGCACGGAGCCAAGTTGTCACTCACTGTTAAACACTGCACTGCCAGGGCATTCAAAAACAAAATCATACAAACACATGACTCCATGGTGATCTTACTTTGATTTGACATTCAGGCAAAAATCACTTGCAGTCAGATTTTGAAATGTCAAGAGCTGCAGAGGACTAGCCCTGGGAAACGGGACCAGCCGGCAGAATCAAAACGGGTCCATGAGTATCACTAACATGTCCTACCCAGACGTGTACAAGCGTGGATCTGGCTCGGAAGTCAAATGAGAGGAGTTGAAAACTACTGTGGTATATCCAAAGCTGATAACATGTCCTTAAATAGAACCCTAATTCAAGAGCCTCCATTTGTGAAACTTGTGCACTTATTGCCACTACTACCAGCGCGCAGGAACCACCACTACCACCGCCACAGGAGATGCCACCTGTGGAGGACAGCAGATCTGTGGGGACAGGTTAGTGGAATGGTGAAAACAACTCCTTTCCATACAGTATCACATCTGTGTGTTGTCGGAAATGGCCACTCCCAGACTGCTAATGCCAATATAGGACTATATAAGAACCCTCAAACATGGGGGATGGTCAGGATTTGAAGAAAAGTTGTTGAAATTAGCATTTTTAAGTAAGGGATTTATTAAAAAATTGGTCAGCACACCAAACACGGGTTTTGGGAGCCCTAGACTCCAGATGG